AGCTCGTCTAAGATAAAATAATTGTAATTGCACGAGCTTATTACAGTGTTAATATGTCTCGCCCAGTTAAGGTCATTCGAAATCCAAAGACCAAGGTACTTGTAGTGTTGTACCTCCTGCAAAACATTATTGGCTGAATATGCAATATGAAGAGTGTTACGTTTGTGAGAAATTTTCATGAAAACGGTCTTTTTAAAATTAACTGACATCTGCCATTTATCGCACCAACGAATGACCTTTTGAAATGCATCGTTTAAATGAATTTTATGAGTACGGTTTTCTATTTCCGAGTACAGGATGCAATCATCCGCATATACCTTAACTTTTACAGGTATATCATGTGATATATCAGTTAAAATCAATAAAAAGAGGAGGGGTCCGAGCACAGAGCCTTGGGGAACACCCGAGTCAACCGGTACTGTACGAGAACAATGGTCATTGAAAAAGACGTACTGTTTTCGATTCGAAAGATAACCGGAAATCCAATTTAGAAGCTGAGTATTCTTAAAAAATAAATTCAATTTGAAGAGTAATTTATTTTGAGAGACCGTATCGAAAGCTTTAGCAAAATCTATAAAAATTGCATCTACTTGTTTTCCGGAATTTATAGATAGTGCGAAGTCAAGAACTGTAGTTACCAGCTGAGTACAAGTAGAAAATCCTTTCCTGAATCCGTGTTGTGAACCTGACAAAATATCGTGCTTATGTAGGAATTCTTAAATATGCTTATGTATTATATGCTCAAGTAGTTTACAGGAAGTTGAAATTAATGAGATCGGCTGATAGGTAATAACAGAATGGGGATTTCCACTCTTATGTAGGGGCTTGACTTTATCAGTTACCCAGTCATCCGGAACTTGACCATCTTTCAGAGATTTAGAAAAAAGAATTGTTAGGTACTTTGAAACCCATTGTGCATAGCATTTTAAGAACTCTTTCGGTACTCCATCAGATTTTTTAACATCAAGCTTCAAAAGTAAATTAAAAACTCCCTCTCCATTATGACAATATCCGATAGCGGTGGGCCTGCCACATCAAATGATTCCAGGACTCCATTATACTTCGTAAAAACAGACTTAAAATTATTATTGAAAGCATTAGAAATAACAGAGGAGTCACTAGTTTCCACACCGTCAATTTCAAAAACATCAGTAGTCACAGGATTAGGCGAAATTAAACTCCAGAACCTCTCGGGAGACGAAGACATGAGACTCGGGAGTTGTTGGCCGTAATAGCGTTCCTTGTCAGACAATACATTTGCTTTTATTTAAGAAGCGAGTTCAGAAACTCTTTGTTGGAGGATACCTACGTCTTTAGAGTGCCGTCTCTGATTTTTTATACGTTTGAGCCGTCTTCGCAACTGCAACGTTTCCCGAGAAATCCAGGGGTTCTTTCCTTTCGATTTTTTTACAATGCGTGGAACAAATCGTTCAATACACACAATTATAAGGTCCTTGAAACGCTCCCACAAATAATGAATATGAGCAGTGCAACTCGAAAAAGAATCAAATTCACATGACAGTAAGTCCATTATTGAAGTATCATCAGCACGTGAAAAGCTTGGGAATGAGACCCTCTTGCAATTTTTCTTTAAAACAACATCAGAAAGCGTAAGTATCACAGCCTGATGATCAGATATTCCAGGGAGAACAGAGCAGCTAGCTTGAGCAGATCCATCTAGATCCTTCTATATGGGATCCATCTAGTTCCATGTCAACCACAGCCCTTGAGTCCGTTCAGAATCGTGCACGTCGTTCGATGCTTCCTAATATTGCCGCTGTGCCAGTGTTTCCACAATAAAAGAACCTTAGGTCAACAAAAATTTAAATAGCGTCGTAAGTTCTACCGCTTAAACCTCTTTCACAGAATTATTTACACAAATCCAACACCAGAATTGATCTTTTTCCTGCCCCAGCTTACGGTTCCCCACGTTTTGACCATCATCTTAATGTTAAAGTTCCTTACACCACACTAACACTTGTTATGCTTATTTTTTGCCGCAAACAAGTAGTGACTGAAACCACCTTCCTGCCTCGTTTGTTGCAAACGAAGAACCTGCCACCATAAAAATTGCGATTAGTGATGTATTGTAGTTACAACACTCCTCTTATATAACGCCCCAAGCACTGAGAGTATGAAATAAATAAATAAATCATGCCGCGGCTTTGCTTCGTCCTTCCTTCTGTCTGTCTGTCGATCCTGAACGGTGCAGTATATTTACAATAAGCAAGTCCGTTGTTGTCCCATAACTCAAATATGCCCTATGAAAGAGTGGTGCTGCGTTGTTAGTTTTGGTTGTTCTTTCGTTTCACAACCAGACGCCCTATGCAAGATTGCCAAGTTTCGCGAAACTCGAGATATTTACGAGCTCTGGCGACACCCCCCTATGAACGAGCCAACAGGACGAAAAGTCAAATCCACCTCTTAGTGCACTGAGTTTCATTGGTTACCATGAAACCAGTCATCGTGTCAAGCACTGTCGACTAAGTCGGGCGATGTTTTCAAACCAGAGGCATCTTCGTTCATTTGTTTGTCGCTCCACTGACTGCAGAAGTGCACCTATGCAATAAACTGTGTCCGAAGTTTTCGTGATGATATTTTAGAGGCAGGGGTGCCTAAATATATTTCGAAGCTTGTAATGCTTGCACTAAGTCTACTTTAGATAATCAGCACGGTGGCCTCTAAGATCAGTACTGGCCGAGCATCTTACAACATCACGATCACAGCTAAATCCGAGGCCACGTGTCAGTCTGTACATTCAAGCGAGGCCACGTATCAGCTTGTACTTCTAGCGCCCTGCTCGGCCGATGCACGTGTCGTCTATGTTGTCATAACCTGCTGGCACCCGAGCACGTGCGGCCGGCTAATTGGCTTTTTGGCTGGGCAGTATACGGTAGTTAGGCCAGGACATGCTATGACCAAGCTAATTACGCCAAGTCATCTATCTATCTATCTATCTATCTATCTATCTATCTATCTATCTATCTATCTATCTATCTATCTATCTATCTAGTTTGCCGCCATCGTCTGAATGCCCTTGTGATGACCCCCTTAACAATGGGTAATCAAAAAAAAGTAGAAAAGGGTAATATTGCTTGACAAATACGACTCAATTGTGATAAGATAAATATTCATAGAATCCCGTCGCATCAGTGTCACATCCTTATTACCAGATATGTGTGGCATATACACACATGTCACGGGGGACATGTGCCGCAGGTATGCAGGTGTGTGCCGCGAGGAAGTGGAAGCATATATCTACCGCGGGTCAGTGAGAACAAGCATTTGTAGTTTTGATGCGAGAGTCTTCAGCAAAAGTGGGAATCGGAACCACTGAACCGACCAATGCAATTAATAAAAATCAGAATTCCAGCAGGAACCAAACCCCAGCCTTCCGCGCACAGCAATCAAGTGTTCTACCACAGAGCTATGCTAGGTATCCGAAGTGCCTTTGGAGTGAACGCTAATGTCCGTGAGATGACATTTTGCTTGCAGGGATGTTTATACCATTTTATTAACAATGCATATGTACTCCTGTGATACAGCCCTGTTGCTTTAACGTTATTTGTAGCAAAGCACCATCCAATCAATTCGCTTTAGGAAGCAGTGTCGAGGGCCATCATGCTTGCCAGCACAAGCGCTACATATCAGCTTACCACTCCAGGTGTTGTGAATACGAATGGTGTAGTGAATATCATTGCGCATATTTGTGAACAACTGGTTATATAAAATATATACGATAGTTAACATATGTCTGTGCATTGATTCGTACAAGAGAAGAGACGATGATGATTGGTATGTACAAGTGAGAGCAATGAAGTGCCTGAAATCTGCTTACAATATGTTTAGCTCCATTTCATAACATTTCACTCAGTACAAAATTATTACACAAGCGCTTCCCTTCACATGCTTCGGATAACACGCATTATCATATTACGGGTAGGGACCGAATCTTTCACATTCACGCTGAAGCAATGGTCAGGAAGCACGTAGAAGCAGTGAGATAGACGGCGATTTACACGCGATGCCATCAATTGTAATTCATGTCATTCACGCTTTCATATTCTGATAAATGAAGCTTGGTACACATTAAGTCCACAATAAGGTACGTGAGCGACAAGGCGTAGGCGACTAAACTACTTGTTACATGCCATGCACAATGAAGCATCCCTGTCACGACCTATCGGTCACGCTGCTCATACGTTAATGCCATGATATGCAAATTTAGTTTGGAACTTCAAGTTACTGAAATGACCATTAGAGCAAACAGACACAAAAGGCAAGTTCAATTTTTGTGCAATGATGGTCAATATCACTTCACGATGCGTGTGCTTTGTACGCTCCAGTCACACTATTCTTTATGCATACATTAAGTTTAAAAAGGCCACAGCAGCAAGAAGGTGCTGACGGCAACCTCAATATTGAACTGTGTGCCATATATTTGATACGTTTTTAAAGAATTGACATTCATGCTGCTGATAGGCAGCTTGCATGCTATACGCATTTAATAGTCGAATGTATAAAGTTTATCAAACAGCCGTGACAGCCCAAAGGTAGAAGCGGCTAGATCATAAATTCTCAGACATCCTTAGCATAATTGTAGTCAACTCGCAGCTGGTTTGTCGTTCTCATTTGTGTGAACTACGCTACAAAACTTTCGGCACACATTCTCTTTTAAATGCACACGAGTTCCCCAAGAAGTAGACAAAAATATGTTTTACACGGCATGCCTTTCTTGGTTTTGTTGCTGTAGCATGTCGTTTAAGTTCTTCATAACTTCAAAAGATGCACTGAAGGTTTCCTATAGTTTGAGCTATCAAAGTGGCCAGAAGAACACAAAGTCACTGGCGGAGATATAGATAAATAGATAGATAGATAGATAGATAGATAGATAGATAGATAGATAGGTAGATAGATAGATAGATAGATAGATAGTCTTTTCTTGGCTAAGAAATAATCACAGTGAGTATCAATTTGTTAACAGCTCAACCATAACTCACCTTACTGACTGATTTTGTAGTTGCACAAGTTGATCTACAATTTTCAATCCTTTGTGCTGTAAGACAGTGGAAAAAGGCTCTGTGACAACTTGCAGACATGCATGTTTCGAACATGTTTTTGTGATGGACACAGTAGTTTTGTGTATGTAGCTAAATTTTGTCTCTCTTGTTAGACTGCATTCAATGTCGAGATCAAACAGCAGCCACTCAGATTCATGGCTGTTTATCGCCAGAGCTGTTTAAACTCGTCATTAGTCTATCATGAGTGAACCAAAATAAGTATAATGATGAGCCAGCATCGTCCCTTCAGCAACTCCGCTTCGACTGCACTCCCAAGACACATGCGCCTACTTGTAAGGCATTAGGTGCAGTGACTTTGATGAGTGAGAGCACGAGTAATGAGAGAGCGGGAGAGAAAAAACACTTGAATAATAGAGAAAAACTCACAGAATTGCCAGAAAGGACAAAGCAATGAAGGCGATAGCAACACATTGGAAGGTCACGCGCAGATTTGAAAGCAGATCGAAACATGCTCCGTGTTCCTCACGCACAAATGACTGACAAAACGTACTCACAGGTACGGATGCAAGCAAATGAAGTGTCTTATTTGATACTTTGCTGTCTCTGAAAAGCGCGCGCTTTTCGCAAACGAAAACTGCAATGATTTGAAGTGACATTTGTGCACCCGGTAACTACAGCAGAATTGTTCCAGCTATAACCCAAGGCCAGCCAAGGCATACGACATTCCCCTTCTCACTGCTGCGAGATAAGAACCCGTGAGATGCGACTCCTCACGCCCACTTATCTCTCCGGGCAAAGTACGCGTAGGAGATCAGAGCGCGCGTCGAAGCGCGATGTGGCGACGCGCGCTCTTTGCGCCATTTTGCTGGTAATGCTGAAAGAGCAATTCGCCCCCGAGATACTCGTGAAAAGCGGTGAGTGGTAGATAAAAATAGCTTGCCATTAGAATGGTGAAAGATGTGCTCCGGGATGGCTCAGTGGTTAACCCCTCAACTTCAAGACGTAGAGGTCGGACGTTCCGATTGCGCGTGCCGGATCGTTTTTTTAAATGCGAAGCATTACTTTGCGAACTTCGGCAACTTTGAGCGTAATCTATCTATCTACCTATCTAGCCGCCTACGACTCTGCAGACCGTTTGAACAATGGTATCGATACCAAACTTGCTACGGCATATATGACTGCATGAAGAGCATACTTGACCAGTCATACATTAAAATAATGACATGTATGTCATGAATATCATCACATACATTTCATGGTCTTGCTGCTCTAGCGGTGGCCTCGTTCACATGACGTGTCGCAAAACTAGTGTGGTATGACATGATTGCATGGCGAACACAAATGAAAGATCCTAAAATAAAATTATGACATGCGTGTCATGCAACAACATGACTACATGCCACACCCAAAGCTTTTGTTTGGAGTATAAAAAATTGGCAGCATCTCCACGGAGTGAATGATGGAGAGTGGGGCGAAGCATTCGTCCGTCCATTCGTTCTTGCTTCCGACCGTTCATGCGTCCGTCTGTGAGACCGCCCATTCGTCCATCCGCCCGTCCGTGCGTGAGTCTGTTCATGCGACCATTCTGCGTTCGCCTATGCATCCGCCTCTGCGTCCATTCATACGTCCATCCATGCATCTGTCTGTGTGTCCGTTCGTCCATCTATTCAACACTCTAAGTACCACCATCTTGCATCTTTTTATCGTATATTCCCCATATAGAAACACCGCCATCCAGCGGACATTCCAAGGGCTAAACGAGAGGTGCCACACGTACACTTTCTTACGGCTTGCGCTTCGGTTCTACTTCCCCCCTTTAACCACCTCGAGTTTAAGGTATATACTAGTTCGCTGTATTCACGGCACTGCGGCCCAACGCTCACTAAACCTTTCTAAAACCAAGGAGGTTACGCCCAGCGAGTATAACGTATAACCTTTTCCTGTCAGACAGTGCTCAATGTACATGCCAATGGCAGCTAATGGGAAATGAGAGACAGGAGAATTCGGCTTTTACTTTCTTACGGCTTGCACTTCGTATCTACTTCCCACCTTTAACCACCTCGACTTCATGGTATGTACTAGTTCACTGTATTCATGGCACTGCGGCTCAACGCTCGCTGAACCTTTCTAAAACTAAGGAGGTTACACCCAGCGAGTACAACGTAGCAATCTTTTTTTGACAGATAGTGCTGAATTCACATGGCTATGGCTGCTAATGGGGATCGCAGTATGCGCGTTAACTAAAACCCTAATGCTCCTGTCTCTCATTCCCCATTAGCAGCCATTGGCATGTACATTTACATTATTTTTTATTATTCGGCAACGCACAGAAGAAATATCCCACCGGCACCATCTTGGAGGTCAAAACTTAACAATTGTTATACACTAGGACAACGAGGGACAAACGGGTGCCTCGCCCCTACTAATCTCTCAGTTTTGTACCCAACCAGACAGACTTCTGTCGAATGTTTACATTCAAGTCACACTCATGATGCGCTCACACCCATTTCGCTAGTGTCACATATACAAAATTTGGTATTTCAGTACGTGAATGAATGACAAAAGTGTGTGATGGGTGCAAACATGTCAATCATGAGATGGGTGTCATGGAACACCATGACTACATGCCATGCTCATGATGCGCTGGCGGCCGTTACGCTAGCTTCACTGATATCAATTTTTTATTGCGGGACGTGAATGGATGACGAAGGTATGAGAGTGGTGCAAACATGATAAAAACGACATGCGTGTCATGTAAAAACATGACTACATACTACGCTCATAATGCTCTCACGGCCATTTCACTAGCTTCACATGTACCAGATTTGGAATTACGTGACGCGAATGGCTAGCGTAGATGAATGACACATCCAAACAGGATAATAACGAAGTGCGTGTCATGTAACAACATGACTAAATGCCGCACTCACGATGCGCTAGCAGCCGTGACAAATTCGGTATTAGTTGTTGTCAGTGGATGGTATTACATGACGTCAACACATGCCAAATTCGGTATTACGGGACGTCAATGAATGACGAAGGTATGTGCCTGGTGCAAACATGATAATCTTCAGATGCGTGTCGTGTGACAACATGACTACATACCACAGTCAAGGTTCCAATACACTGCGATGTGACCCGGTGCGCGTGCGCGCCGGCGTTTGTTTCGTAGCGTCACGCTGGCGTTGCCACGTCAGGCGCTGCTCCTGCCAAATACTCGAAGGCGCGCGCCGCACTGCGTTGCTTTGACGCATGAACGTTTCAGCGCGTCCGACGTCCCTCCGTCTCAAAGGGAGACAGACGTAGTGCAGTCTGAGGAACGCATCAGTGCGAATTGCAGCATGTAGCATTCCGCGCTGGTTCACATCAGACCGCTTCGATTGACGGTGGTCGCGTCGGTCGCGCCTGGCGTGAGACTATAGAGTTCTCGCGTTTTGCTAACGTATAGTGTCACTGTGCCCTGCGTGCGCGCGCGTCAACGTCACATAGGAGTAAATTGGGCCCTTCATGATGCAATCACGGCTGTTTCGCCAACTCCACATATACCAAATTCGGTGTTACGTGATGTTAATGTATGACGAAGGTATATCACTGGTGCAAACATAATAATCATGACACACGTGTCATGCAAGAACATGACAACATATCACGTTGATATCGTGCCCGCGGCTGTTTCGCTAGCTTTAAATACACCCAATTTGGCATCACGTTACGTGAATAGATGACGAAATTGAACGACGCACCCGAACATGATAATCACGGCACGGAAGTCTTGTACGGCATAATTTACCTCTACCTCGTAGCGTTGTTGTGATTTTGAAGTGACATATGAACCTTCTTATTTGTGCTTCGAATAGCATCGATTTATACTGTACGTGGGATCTGCCAATTTTTGTATCTAGATTTTTTTTCTTTCTTGGGTTTTCATATATATATATATATATATATATATATATATATATATATATATATATATATATATATATATATATATATATATATATATAGCATACATATAGGGTGGTTGACGTCGACGCGGTCGGCAGTGGGAAAATCCAGCCGAGAGTGTCCATTTAATACCTGTCGCATTAAAAAACAAAATATGGAGCGGCGACTGCGTGCATGCCGATCAAAGGTAAAACAGAAAAACAATGACCGCGGGTGCGCTCGTGACACGTGACTGCCGCTGGCAGCGGGCAGTTGGGCCAGAAGCTTAGAGGAGTGAACAAGGTTCCTGGTCTGGCTCCTCGTCTTTCCTACAGGTTCCGGGCCGAGCCGCCTCGAAACCCCTACATTTGGTGCCGAACGGGAAGTTCCCCGCCCCCGGGCTATGGACATTGAGCCCGACTATAAGGACGCAGCTCCAAAGTGTGCTTCTCGACATCCATCAGGCAGTTCTACTCAGCTCCCGTTATTAGCCCCTTCGTATATATAGCAGCTGCAAGGAGCTCTGACAACTAGAGTCAGCCTGCCTCGATATCCCGCTTCGTAACTAGCGACCAGTATTGGCTGCACCGGCTGCTTCAGATACTTCAGGGCCTTTATTACACCGCGGCAATAATGCCCGAAGAGATGTGGCGCGTCTCAGTCGCGATGTAATATCTCGCTCCTTTCATCGGCGTCAGGCTACCCGTGCAGGCATTGGAGGACGTGGCAAGCTCGTCCTCCTGGGCGGCCCTTCGTGAAGACAAGCGAAGTGGTGGTGAGGTGGTCGCAAACGACTACAAAAAGTGCGCGCCGCTGAGTGCTAGCGGCTGCGACAATACCGGGCGCCATTCCGCACCGACAGAAGGCGGCACAATGATGAAACAAGCATCAAAGGCACCACGTGCGTGCCTTCTCTCTTTGCCGAAGGCGCCGCCTCTACAGTGAACAACCTTCTTTCACCTATCGCCAAGCGAACTCCATGAACATAGAGAAAGAAGACGCGAGTCACTGCCTGGTTGTGTCACGGGTCGCAGAAGGTTCGAGAAAAGTCTTGCCCCTTTTCTAGCGTTTGCTGTGCAGTGCACCGACAAAATCTCCACAACCAAGA